TTGTGCCAAAGTAATGGTTCTACTTCTGTATAGAGATCAAAAAAAATGGGTGGTCTCTCTGCTCCCTCTGCTGGCTCAGTGTGAGAGCTGTAAGCGAAGTAGAATACATTTGTATACCTAAGCCACTATTTGCAAAGATTAACTTCAAGCTGCACTAGGATGTGTCAACAAAAACACTTTTCTTAGCAACAAAAGGGACTTTGTGCCAAAGTAATGGTTCTACTTCTGTATAGAGATCAAAAAAAATGGGTGGTCTCTCTGCTCCCTCTGCTGGCTCAGTGTGAGAGCTGTAAGCGATGCTTGAGAACAAATACCTATTACTGTACCTTCCACACATCACATAGAACTCTCTTGCTTAGTTTTTTTTACACAACTCTGAACTGACACTCCTAATTCAGCTTCATATACTTGTTTTATTTAATTCTGATGGTGTACCATTGGACTGACCAGTCTGATTAATAGGGAACCGTTTATCTAACAAAGTAACTAAGGAAATGCATATCCACACCATGGCTGGCTAAAAGTGCAATGGTTTGGAAATAAGCATCAAATTTAGTCCCTCCAAAGTCAGTCATTCAGGAACTATTTTGAGATGGGCTCTAATGAACCTGTTTACTGGAGGAAATCAAAAGGACAGGTCTGATAGTGTTCATGTGGCAAATGATGTTGGCACAAAGAAAATAGCTTTTGTTCCATGTCTGTGTCCTCCACATTGGTTCCTTAGTTATATAAGTGATCGTTCCCCTTCAAATCCTACTGCGTTCCAGATATGGTCTCAATGGCTGATGCCACAAGTATTTACAAGTAAATCTTTATTTGCATTAAAGGGGGGAAAAAAAGATATACAGAAAGGGTACGTCTACACTGTGGGCTAAAGTCGAGTTAAGATACGCACCTTCAGCTATGTTAATTGTGCAGCTGAAGTCAAAGTACTGTACTTCACTTGGGCTTTTGGTGCTGTCTGCTTTGACTCTCGCTTTGACTTCCCTTTCTCCTCGTGAAATGTGGGTTGCAGAAATCACAGTAAGAAGCCTGTTATTTCAAAATTATTTTGAAATAACCAGCTCGCGGTGTAGACATGCACTCTGTTACTTCAAAACATGAGTTATTTCAAAAATAAGCATGCAGTGCAGACATAGCCTACGAAAAGTGGATTCATAAGATACCGTAGTCAACGCCGGGGCCCTGAAAACAGATTCTCAGCTAGGACAAGCAAGGGAATACATCTTGAATCACAGTAGTAGCTTTTATATTTGCTATGGCTCAGGGAAAGCAGCTGGCTGGGAAAGCCTGGATGCAGTGTAAAATATGAAAGCGAAAATCTCTCCTCCAGCTCTGCTTCTACTTGCCCAACAGCAGAGAAGAGGGAAACTGGATTATTTACATTTTTAAAAGTAGGTGGAAATTGATTTTTTTTACATTTTCAAAAGCCATACTGCTGGGTTCACAAGATTACCTTTATATTAGGATAACTTATTGAATAGGCTTATGTGTTAAAAAAACAAAGTTACTTAGTTTCATGTAAGCAGGACAGCATTGGCCTTAGGAAGTTGCACTTCAGATTTTCATAAAATTCTCAGTGTTAGGCTAGATCTAAATATTTATTACACTTCAGTTAGCAACCTAGGTTCTCCTTGTGTTTATGCCTAGTCCGTACCAATATGAGCGTTGAAGCATCTCAGCAGAGATTCACATCTGAATGTAAAAGCCTTTTCCAGTGACCTCTACACAGTAACTCCCATTCGACAAAGTATCTTCAAACTCATTTAAATGGCTACACAGTTGCAACCAGAAAAATCAAATCCTCCAAAAAAATCTTTACATTTCACAAATAGCTAAAAGAGTTGCCTGCTATGAGAAAGGGGCATCAGCAAAACCAAGGTACATGAAACAGAGAGCTTGTAATTATGGCCTATTCATGCTGTGTCAGTCACAAAATCTGATGTGACTTTGCAGATTCAGGGATATTTGGCTTTGTGTATTTCAATTTAGACCAATCCCCCCTGAAAAAAAATTAACATTATACAGACAAAACTGTAAATGCCAACCTGTCCCACCTCCAATCCTGATCTCATTCGCCACCACCGTTAGCCCCGATCCCTTGTTCCTGCAGCTCCTACCCACCAAGCCTCTACTAGAGTATGTATACAGAGGTCCACAACTGCTTTAACAAGTATCTGTAAAGTGATTTGAGGTAGTATTTTGACCACAGATCCAACAGACAGAGGATTCCATACAATTCATATAGACTTTAAAAAAAATCAAGTTAGCATCAGCAATTCTGCATGGATATTTTAAAAACTCATGTTTGGGATTAACATACAAATGGAAAGAACTTTTACAGTGCTCCATGAGTTCTACCCATGGTTCTTTTGACCCAGGGCCCAGAGATGGAAAAAGTAGTACAGTATTTTACATCCTAGGAAACTGCATAACTGTTTGGGTCAAAAGTTGCTAGTTGTCAGAATTGTTGATGAACTTACAAGATTCAGGATAGAAGCTGCCACACCTCTTAATGACCTGAAGGTGTTAATTTCAGTATTTATCAGGTCTCTTTTTTTGGGTGGCTGTATTTGTAAACTAAACTCTAAAGCACAGAGCTAGCTAATTGGGACACACAAGCTATGAGCTCTAGTAAGGATTCCAATTTCCATTATTTCAGCAGAAAAATTCAGGGCTAAATAAAAATAGGATACTTGGTTAAAAAAATAAAAGATTCTCCAAAATGGGGCATTATTATCTGGTGTCGATGGAGGTCCAGATAAGTAATTAAAGATGCATCTACACAGTATTCTGTACTCAAAATAAGATACACAATTTGCACTCTGCAAATTGCATATCTTATTTTGAATCTATTTCAAAATAGCTTATTTTAAAATTTGGCACATCTACACAGTGCCAAATTTCAAAACACCACACTATTTTGGGACATCCCTTAACCCTCATGGAACTAGGATCACCAAAATAGTGCACCCATTATTTTGAAAAATATTTCTAAATAATGGGCAGCTTGTTAAGACGCAGGGTAGTTATTTCTGGATACCCCCAGTATCCTGAAATAGCCATGCAGTGTAGATGTATCCTGAGTTCTCAAAACTGTCTTGAGTTAGTCTACCAGTATAAGAACAGCCATATTGGGCCAGACCAATGGTCCATCTAGTCCAGTATCCTGTCTGCTGATAGTGGCTAATACTAGATTCCCTAGAGGGAGGGAACACAACAGGTCATCCTCATGTGATCCCTCTCCTCACCCATTTCCAGACAAACAGAGGCTAGGGGCACCATTCCTACTCATCCTGGCTAATAGCCATTGGTGGATCTAACCTCCATGAATGTATCTAGCTCTTTTTTGAAGTCCTGGCCTTCACCACATCCTCTGGCAAGGAGTTCCACAGGTTGACTGTGTGCTGAATGAAGAAAAGCTTCCTTTTGTTTTAAACCTGTTGGTCTATTAATTTCATTTGGTGACCCCTAGTTCTTATATTGTGGGAATAAGTAAATAACTTTTCCTTATTCACTTTTTCCCCACACCAGTCACAATTTTACAGACCTCTATCATATCCTCCTCCCCCTTAGTCTCATTTCTATGCTGAAAAGTCCAAGTCTTTTTAATCTCTCTTCACATGGGACCTGTTCCAAACCCCTCATCATTTTTGTGGGTCTTTTCTGAACCTTTTCCAATGCCAATATAGGTGGCCCCCAACTTGCGACACGATAGGTTCCTGGGGAAGCATCGCAAGTCAGGGGTGTCATAACTCGAACCTGCATTTACGATTGGCGCTGTGCGCCATCGTAAATGCGTCCAGGACTTAAGTCGGGGGTTTTTGGTCCCTGCTGCACTTCAGACCATTTATGTAAGTGATGGGGGGGTCGCAAATTATTGCCCTGCTTTGTACTGTTTAATATGACCTAATGGTAGTGGAAAATATGACCAACTGTCCAGCTCTTCTTTGGTGTCTGGTATTGACCTGGACAGTCTGGTATTTCTGCCTCCTGTCCAGTAAAAAAAAATTCAGAAAATACCAGATACCTAAAATGTCCGGTATTTTCTGTTTTTTCCCCCCTGCCAGGAGGCAAAAATACCGGACACCTGGCAACCCTACGACACACTCAGCAACTGGACCCAACCCCCGCCGCCCGAGACCCTCTGCTTACCTGGTTCCGCAGGGAAGCTTCCTTCTGGCTTGACCAAGAATACAAGATGGCCACCGGCAAAAAGCCTAAAGACCTGAGCAAAGGGAAGCAATGCCTTCCCTGGGTCTTAGTGCTCGCCCTCTCCTCTTCCTATCCCTATTCTGACTCTACATGCACTTAAAGGGGACATGTTGTTTTAATGCGGTTTTTATTTATTTTTACTTAACTCTAGGGGTCCTTTTTTCTTTTAACAACTTTGGTCTCCCCCCTTTTTTTGGGGGGGTTGGGAGGGGTGTTCAGTATTTTTGGTTAAATCATCTGGCAACCCTAGTGTGCAGCAGTGTGTGGGGCACAGACTGGGCGTGTGAGATATCCACAGAGTGTGTGTGTGTGTTGGATAAGTTTCTGAGAGATGCCATGCTCTGTCATTAAGGGAACTCTATCTTGCTCTGTTGTCTCTCCCCTCACCCTCCGCCTCCTTCTGTACTCCTAAGTCACAGGCTTCAGATAGGAGCAGCTCTGCTGACTGTGTGTCTCCCTCTCAGGAGAATTAGGAAGCCCCACAGCTGCAGGATGGAGCAAGGTGGGGGACGGGAATCTGAACACAGGCTGCCAGCTGGCTGTAAGTATGCACCTCTGTGAACTAGACAGAAATGCTTAGCAGGCTGGATCTGGGCTCCAGGCCTGAGTTTGCCTACCCCCAGTACAAAGAATATAACGCTACACATTGACTAATGAAGGAGCAATGAAGGCATGACAGAACAATCTGCAGTTATTTATTAGGAAAAGACAAAGTACTGCTTCAACATTCATACTGGACAAACATTAACAAAATCTGAAAAATAAACTAAAAAAAAGTAGGTCCATCATATTGAAGTTGGCTTATGGCAATACAGTACAGACATGTAAATTAAATCCAAACTTCATCCATGCAATCAGGCAAGCAGTAAAGAATTATATACAGTTTTGATGGGGATGGATTACTTTGTAGGCACAATCAATTTGGCCACAATGAAAATACTTAATTACATTAAATCTATTCTGTACATTCAGTAATGAGCAGCTATAAAATGAAAAAATAAATTAAACAATTTACAAGAGATGTATTACAGTTTACATAAAGGTATAATTTAATAGGTTTAATACAAATTTGCAGCACATTATACTTTTTACATCGTATCTTCAGTGTCAGAACAGTAAACAAATAAGCTCAGACATAGGATAAATACAATACAATTGAGTAAGGCAACTGAACTGAAATAAACTCCAAACCAAGGTGAGGAGGGTATGGATTTGATATCCCTTTTGCTAAGGAAATAAAAACTCAGGGTGTGATTTGGTCATGGGAAGGCCTGCAAATGGTAAGGCAAGTGCCTAGCAATTAAGGGTTAAAATACATATGATTAAAATGAAACAAAAACAGATAGTGCTATCAAAATACAAAATATAACTCTTTGCTTATGTTCCATCTCAATCTGGACACCCAAAAACCACAAATTTTCAGGCTCTTGGTGCTGCAAATTTTTTCACATTCCCTACAAAATTCTGTTTAAATGAATCTTTCGTAGTAATGTTCAATCTGAAACTAATGTAACTGGCTTCAGGGCTTTGTATTTTCAAAGCTCTTAAATATCCTTGCTGAAGAGACTGAAATGTGAGCAGGTTAAACTTATTACTTCAGATTAACAATTCAGAAACCCGATTTCAGTTTATTTTCTAGATAAGACTACTGAACAAGTATACCTTTAAAAACTTTAAATACATATTCACAATTTTCAACAAAAATGGCAAATGCAGTAATGCTGTACTTTTTGAAATACAGTGCTCACACAGGATACATAGTATGCCCACAGTAGCCAGTAATAAAACTGTGTCTGCTCTAAGCTACAATGACTAAACATGGAAAAGTATAAGATTAACATTTAATAGTTTTAAAACTTAAATTCTAGAAATGGAAGGTGATTGATCATAAAATGCACAAATTGAATGCATTCTGCTTCACAGAAAGCAGCACAAAGTCAGCCCTGGCTCTTGACTAATGAATTTCAGTGTAAATATATTACAAAGGAAGCTCGATATAAGGCTGAGAGATCTTTGCAAATAGACAAATTTCAAGTCTGTCAAAAGGACCATGCCATAAATACTTTTATTTACAACTTATTTTGATTCTAAATTTTTCAAATGATTTAGCACCAGCAGCAAAATGCAAAGTAGCACTACTATTTTCCCTATCTGAATGACATTTTTAAAAAGAATTTTGGGACCAAATGTTTCATTATTGCTAAGAGTAGTTTCCATTTAAATCAACCGACTACTTAGCAACTAAGACAAGAAGGATTTGGCATTCAATTATATAGTAATACGGTGTTCTATACATATCAGAGGCCTCAGTAGGTAAACTCAGCTTAGAAAACAGGCTTGTTTGCAGACTTTTATGATCTCTATCTTCACGTCTTCTTAACAATATAATTTTAGAATACCATTAAATTTTTGCTGACTATATTGTCAAGAAGAGCCAGATATACCTGAGCAAGAGGGCTTAGTAATATGCACTTAAGCGTTTTGTGGAATATAAGTGGAGAATTACCACTCCACACTGTGAGAAGGCATCTTAATATCCCACATCAGTTCCATATCATAACAAAAACTTCCATAAACCTGATTAAGTTTTTGCAGACAATTAACTGACCAACTCCATTCTTAATTAACTGAAAAATCTACTGTGCTTTAGCCTGAAGAGAAGAAGAATTTTATCTCAAAATTTAACTTCAACTGTATTTATCAAACACTCTTGCTGATTTATTACAGTAAAATACACAGCTAGGTTATCAATATTTAAGTATTACCCTCAATATTTTGTTTAAATTCCTTAATACCAACAAATCCCAACAACTCTTCACATTGCAGGTTTTCTAAATATATGGATGTGGGAAATAAAAGAAATTTTTGTTTTAGGTGAACATGAACATAAACAGCCAGTTTCATTGCCTATTAATTTAGATGCAGGAGAAAGTGGGTTACACCTATTTAGCTGCACTGGTTCAACCTCAATACTTTGTTTTGCTTGAAGTGATCGGTAACAGGACCATCTTGCTTTCAATTCTGTTACCAACTAAACGAATCAGTCTCTTTACGATACCAGCAAATCATTTACAGAGGTTATACAATAAATGAGTTATTTACAAAACAGTAAAGGCATGAAAGTAAGATTATATGATGAATAAATATAACAAGACATTTATTAGTCTTTAAAGAGCACAACTTTGCTCTAAGTGCAAGCACCTTGAAATACTTTCAAAAAGTTAAACTCCCACAGATACATTTCCTAATGTTTAAAAGTAAGTTACTGCCCAATTATTCAGAACGGGCCAGCTTTGTAAAAATACACCACCACATTTTTGGAACTTTACTGAATATCTACATTAGTTCAGGTAGAATATATAAAAAAACCAACAAAAGCTGTTTATTCTCATCACACTAAAAAGACAAGGAATAACCTTGCATCTATATACAGAATGATACTACCAATCACTTGAATGCAATAGACGTAGACTGCTCAATAAAACTAATACTTAGGCAAAAAAATATTACTGAAGGACCAGAATTGTCAAGCATTTCTTAAGTCTCCCTTAGAGATTGAAAACTGTTAACAGTTTGGCCTCTTAACTCTCTCAATACCAGAAGTTTAAATAGCACTAAGGTCTTTTATGAAGCATCAATACCACATAAGTGTTTTGGTGATGCATGTATGTCTCTGAAAGTACAAATGCTCTTAATGGCATAAAAGGGGGGAAAATGATCCGTTTAGAGTCTTTAAGTTCCTAAATTCTAAATGGAATGATGCTTTATAGAAAAGTTGTTTATACAAGTGGCAATACTATTAGATTCAGTAAAAGAAGACTTAAAAAAACCATAATGCCAAGATTCTAGATTTGGTCAAACTTAAAGGTCCAAAATATGTAGGCAAAAAGGAGTTGCTTAACATTCAAAATGCAGTTACCTTAAGCACAACTGGAAAGGTGTTGAGCACGGGTAGAGGTTTGTCAGCCATACCAACAGGCCCATGATATCTTCATACAAAATGAAATGTCTGATCTAGAAATCGCCTGTACTGTATTTGTGGGGCTAAAAATAAGCGGAGACAATGACATGCTAAACCCTCTGACATAATGCATAGACTAATTGAAACGGGAGGGAGAAGGAGGAAGGGGAGAAACTGGTAGGCGTAACCACCCCAGCAAAAATAGACTAGCTTGTCATGACGAGAGGGCAGAGAGCTCAGTCATCTTGACAGATGTAGCAGTTTGTCTAAAAACACTGATACAATTCTTGTCCACAACTACAGTAGTCAGTTTGGGGTGCTAAGTTCTTGCTCGTACCATGTATGCTCTTACATCAAGTTGCAGTACCAGCAAAACAAACATCACTGGTACCATGTGAGAAATTCAAGGCACATGCTTTCAATCTGACACACACTACATTCAGAATGAGCTTGGCCTTTTTCTTTCAAGGGGAAAACCTCTTGAAGAAAGTTGTTCCCTGCTTGAGAAGTCAGCTGTAGCCATGAGGATCCATAAGCTTACAAAGAAAGTTGTTGCACTTCTTCTGCCTAGTATGTGACAGCTTATTTGAGTTGTCTATTAAGCTCTAAATAGTGGAGACACAAAGAAATGCTAAATGTGAAGGTAAAAGCGCTGAACTTTTGAAGCAGTATGTAGAATGAATCTACTTAAGCTATTCACTCTAAAGGAAGTTAGCCTTTTAGCCCTGGCAAGATTCCTTTGAACTATATACAAAGGTGTAGATAAAGAAATTTAAAGATACTCTCACTGCAAGTAGAAATGGTCTGCGACCCCTTTAAAGATGCAATCAATCTTTAGAAACTCTGATGACAAAAGGTTGGTTTGTAATTTTTTTTCCCAAAAAGAATGAACCCTGGCAACTATGCCTGAATACACTCTGGCCACCGGCCTGCCCTCGCCTATTAGAATGAATCTCAGTGGATGCAGCGGAAGGCTAGAAGGCTTTGCTGGTAGTCTCCTGGAGGAATTGTAGGGTTGGGGTAAGAGGAAAAAGCAAATGAATTATGCTGAAGAAACTAAGAAAGCCAAACAGACTTTTTCAAAGCTGAAGGCAAGAGATATACAAAGGCAGGACCGGTATCTAATTTCTCAGGAGGAAGATCAATAGCATACATGTACAGTAATTCAGCTATTCAAGAATTACTTATGAATGCATTCCTAACATATGTCCATGTTAATGTCCAAATATATCTATCATGAGCTATAATACATTGATATTTCTTGAATTTATCAAGATCATTTCTCAGACTGGCTTGCTACAGAACTGGAAAAAAGACTGTAGCTAAATTTACTTTCAATATTTTCAGTAGGTTCAATAGATAACCTACTTCTACATATTGCTTCAAAAGTTCATGCTCCAGGATGTATGTGAAAGAAGAAATCTATGACAATGGATATGGACCAGCACTAAAATGTTTCTTGCCTAGCTATATGACATGGTGCTGAAGTACTAAATCTCTAGCCCTCAAAAAAGGCAAGCATCTGGGGTGTGAAAAATAATCTTTGTGAAAAGTTCATAGAAAAAAACAAGTCTAAATTACTTCTTCCTACTACTGATTGTTAATACCAACTATACAACTAGCTTTTTCACTGATTCATGGTAAAACAGCAACTTACAAAAAGACACTTTACCCCAAGCTATATTAACTTCACAAATGGATGTTGCCTTCACTCAATGATAGTATCATTTCTAGAACTACATTTCTTTCCAGACTGAACCCTCAATTTAAAAGTCTTCAAAATGAAAGTTAAGCTTAGGCACTCAGTAACAATGAAACTGTATTTGAAGTTGAAACTCCTCTAGGTTGAATTAAATGGCCATCGGCTTCTCTTTGCAACCTCTCCAATTAAAAAGTCACTGTAGTTCAGGACTTCTTAATGGAGTTCAACTAATGCTCCCTCCCCAAAAAGCCCCAAAGGGGGATTCTCTCCCTATCATCTTTTGTCCTGTGTTTGCACATTAGTTGGAAAGGCAATATGGCTAAGAATATCAGATGCTGCTGTAATGCAGCATATCCACGTTCTGGAATACTTACTCATTTACTTGATTTAGAGTCTTATCCATTTAAACATGTTTAAATTCCAAACAGATCAATGAGCTAGTCCGATACAGCCTTTTTTAAATGCATACACAGGAAACACTTAATATTAACTAACTTACTGCAAAACTGGGTATTTCTTCTGAGGCACATTAAAATAATACACCGACGCACACATAGTTGGCTTAACTTCTGAAATGAATTCTCTAGCCTAAAATCTTTATCTCCTGGCTGCTGCAATACTTAACACAGTAAAGTCAATTCTGTAAAATAGTATGAGTGTACAGTATGACGACAAAACAAAGACTAGTTTCAAAATATGGAGTTTATCCCAAGGTCACTGTTTGCAATAATAGGAATTATTTAACCAAGTATACTAAACACTGGTCCTTTTGACTCTGCAATACAAACTCTGGAACTACAAAAACAAACTTCCAACTCTAAGCAAGATAAATTAAAATAATCAAAGGTCTGAGATTAATTTATTAGCACTGAAATATTTTAAGATTAATTAAATGAAAGACTAAATATTTTCAAATTGGTAGAGGAGGGATGAAATCTGTACAAGTTTATTTACAAAGAACCAGAATTAAACTGTAGTACTATTATTTTAGTCCTGGGCCTCTTTTGAGTAGATAGCCATCAGAAATCTTTCCAGAGTGTGTCACAAGTAGGAGGAGAATGAAATCAAAATTATTTAGGATTTAAAATGTAAGGTAATGGAATTTTGTTATGTCAGATGCCTTTTGTAAAAGCTTGCTGTTCCTTGAATCATGAATCTAAATCCAAAAGCATCTTCCCAAAATACCCTATCTACCTTCAACAAATGAACTGGACAACTGTGTAGCTTCACAAGAGTACAAATATGTGGAAATGCAGCAGTAGCTGCTCTTCTTTGTATTTTCACTTAATATTATTGGCTAAAAACAAATATTTTCCCATTAGATATAAAAATTCTGCAATTATTGGAACATAATTAAGCACTGTAACACTTTATACTGAGAAATAATCTTCTATGCTACATTGCTTTGCTTTCTGTTGATGGCACTTCGGTGTTTACAGGTCAATTGTTTTAAAAGTACAAGGGAAATTCTGCTTAGTACAATGCAGTAAACGAGACTAAAACATACTAATCAAAATAAACCACTTTCATCAAATTATCTACAAAAGATACTTGCTTAACATTAAAGGTTCATGTTTAAGTCTACACTATTGTAAGATTAAAACTTAAAAGGGCTGGAATTCTCTCTTTAGGAAGCTTGTTTTTCAGAGGATGTATTGCATTTTAGAAGTTCAAAACTGGCTACAATCACTGGAAATCATAAGGCAAAATCGACAGGTATTTCACTTAAAAATGCCTTACGTAGCAAGATCCCATTCCCTTAATACAGTAATAGCCAGCAGTTTACCACTTAAATTTAAGAACTGCAGCAAAACTGCTGTTTTTTTCCTTTGGTTCCCATTGACTTAAACAATGTAGTAATAATGCCATCCAGGTGGAAAACAATTCAGTGTAGTGGCTTCCAGTAATTCAGCTAAAATTCGGCAATCCAAGAAGAGCACCAACAGCTCCAAAGTAACCCTGTCAAAAAAAAAAAAAAAAAAAAAAAAAATAATTATTCCAAGTTTCAACACTACATTAAAATTCAGCATTCAGAAATACCTTCTTAGCCACAACAGAGTACTTGGAACGCCCACATTAAGTATGAAGAATATACATTTGTAATAGACGTTTACTGGAAGTACTCAAAACTTAGCTTCCTTCATTTGTAAAAACAGCTAATATATTTCTAAGGCACATAACAGTGGTATCTGAACACACATCAAAACCAAAGGCTTTTCAGAAAAGCTGACAGATGCTGGCTGACCTCTGAACTTCAACATCCACATGGACGTTACCTCTAATGCAATAGCTCAGCACGTCTTCTCTCAACTCGCTACCTTAAGTTTCTCAAAAGTATTCTCCAGGACTGAACAGAGCAAGCTGTACCCTGGACTGGATTTTTAGGCTGCATATAGACAAACACAAGAACCACCTCACTAATAAGGATGTAAAAGTACAACAGTTCCAACGGTTAATCGATAAGTGAATGCTTAACTGTTTCCATTACAGTTACATGGCAGCTCTAGAGAATAGCCCACTGCAAAACTGGCCCTGCTCTTGGGGAGCTAGCTGTCACCCCGTGCTGTGGTTTCTGCAGTATAAAAGTTATACTGCAGAGCCTGCAAAGTGTGTAACTGTTCGGAATTTTCATGGTTACCTTTTATAACAATTTTTAGTCCAACTCCCTATCCACTTCCTAAAAAAAGCATCAGTAATTAGGACAGCTCCCAACCTTTCCAGATATTAAAGCAAGCTGGTCAAGAGCAGCAAAAATATCCAATGGCACTTTGAGCTGCTATCATATTATATCCCGCAGGTGTGCTTTAAGCTTCAGCAAGATAATGTTGCACCACAGAGCTGGAAAGAATTAGGGATGCTAGCAAATGTCTGTTTTTGTAAACATGTAACTGCTGGATTTTTTTCTGCACTTACACGTTTACATGCAAGGGGGCAGGTGGGAGCTGGTGCTCACGGGGAGTCGGCTTTTAAGACAGCTCCCCATGAACACCAACTCCCACTTGCCTCCCCCCGCCCCGCATCACCACCCTACTGTATGGGAAGGGAGGTGAGGCGGCAGCTCTGCAGGAACCTGTACATGGAGGGAGCCAGCTTGAATGCTGGCTTCCCAAATGTGCAGCTTCCCCCCCCCCCCTCCCCCCATGCTGCTGCCTCTCTGAGGGGAAGTGATCAGGAATATTAAACATGGATTCATGAAGGGCAAGTCATGCCTGACCAATCTGATCAGCTTCTATGATGAGGTAACTGGCTCTGTGGATATGGGAAAGTCAGTGGATGTGATATACCTTGACTTTAGCAAAGCTTTTGATAGTCTCCCACAATATTCTTGTCAGTAAGTTAAGGGAATATGGATTGGATAAACGGACTGTAATATAGACAGAAAACTGGCTAGACTGTCGGGCCCAACAGGCAGTGATCAACAGCTTGATGTCAGGTTGGTGGTTGGTTTCAAGTGGAGCGCCCCAAGGATGGTTCTAGGACCAATTTTGTTCAACATCTTTATTAATGACCTAGATGAGGGGATGGATTGCACCCTTAGCAAGTTCACAGGTGACACTAAGCTAGGGGGAGAGGTAGATATGCTGGAAGGTAGTGATAGTGTCCAGAGTGACCTGGACAGATTAGAGGATTGGTCCAAAAGAAATCTGATGAGGTTCAACAATGACAAGTGCAGAATCCTGCACTTGGGACAGAAGAATCCCAAGCATTGTTTGGGGACCGAATGGCTAAGTAGCAGTTCTGCAGAAAAGGACCTGGGGATTACAGTGGATGAGAAGCTGGATATGAGTCAACAGTGTGCCCTTGTAGCCAAGAAGGCTAATGGCATATTAGGGTGCATTAGGAGGAGCATTGCCAGCAGATCCAGATAAGTGATTATTCCCCTTTGTTTGGCTCTGGTGAGGCCACATCTGGAGTATTGTCTCTAGTTCTGGGCCCCCCACTATAGAAAGGATGTGGACACATTGGAGAGGGTCCAGCAGAGGGCCACCAAAACGATAAGGAGGCTGGAGCACATGATCTATGAGGAGAGACTGAGAGATTTTGGTTTGTTTAGTCTGCAGAAGCGAAGAGTGAGGGGGGATTTGATAGCAGCCTTCAGCTTCCTGAAGGGAGGTTCCAAAGAGGATGGAGAAAGGCTGTTCACTGTAGTGATGGATGGCAGAACAAGGAGCAATGGTCTCAAGTTACAGTGGGAGAGGTCTAAGTTGGATATTAGGAAAAACTATTTCACTAGGAGGGTGGTGAAGCACTGGAATGGGTTACCTAGGGAAGTGGTGGAATCTCCATCGTTAGAGGTTTTTAAGTCTCGGCTTGACAAAGCCCTGCCTGGGTTGATTTAGTTGGGATTGGTCCTGACTTGGGCAAGGGGCTGGACTTGATAGCCTCCTGAGGTCTCTTCCAGCTCTATAATAAGCAGCTCTGGGGGAGATGTTGCTTGTGGGGAACTGGCATAAAAGCTGGCTCTCCACATGCTGCTGCCTCTGATAAAAATGCACCAGCACAGGGAGTCGGCACACAAAGGGAGAATGCTTGAAGGCCAGATTCCCGTTTGTACAGTCTCCTGCCTGCCCCTCTATCAGAGGCAGCAGCGCAGGGGACAGGTAGCTCTCTGGGAGCTGATGCTCAGGGGGAATCTGGCTTATAAGCTTAAAGCTGGCTCCCCCTGAGCACTGGCTTCTGCCTGCCGCCCCCCCCCCCGCACGCTGCTTCCTCTGTGGGAGGCAGTGTGTGTGTGGGGGGGAGGACTGGGTGATACAGAGGCAGCAAGGGGGAAGGTGTGTGTAGCTGTTAGGATTAACTGATGAGCCCAGGCTTATCGGTTAATCACGTAAATGACTACACACTAACATCTGTAGAAAGAATATCCATATTTGGTTTGTTGGACCTCTCTGCAGCAATTAGTGACATTAAACAAATATCCTTGTACTGTCTTCGAGAAGTACAGGGAGAAAAGAAAAACCTGAAGTCCTTCCCTTGGGATTCACCCCTATCAGATCAAACCTAGAGAACTGACATAGGCAACTATTTCTTCCTCACTCTCAACTATAGATTCGCACAATAATAGGTACTAACCCACACATCATATAAAAGTGAGAAACTCTTGAGAGAATAGCTGAGACAATCTAAGAGGAAGTGCCAGTGGTATGTAGAAGACACCCAGCTCTATATCTTCTGGAATTTTCAGTACCTTGCTGAAATTTGTTAAAGCTGAACCTTGTAAAAACTCAGAGTACGCAGGGTGAAACAGAGAAGCACTGCAATTGAACCGTATTCCCTTACATCTTCAACTCCTGAGAGCATCTGCCTTCAAATTAAGATAGTCCAAGCTATCTGAATTCCTTTAAATGACAGTAGCTTCCATGGAAAAATGCCTATTTGGACAAGACACAGACCTAGTCATTCATTTTGATTTATGTATTAATTCCTAGATAAGTTCAATATCAAACTGTGTGGCAGATGCCGGATACACTGAAAGGTTTCACTTGATAGAAAGCAAAGCAAAACAATATTCTAGAGCTTTCCTCTTCAGTCTCCTATTCAAAGTCCCCTGATGTGAATGCCATTAGTTACTGCTCCCCCTTCATAAATGAAATGCTGTAACAGCTATTCCACCAGAACACCATAATGATCCACCTCAATACAGGAGACAGACTCCAGAACTCACTGATGCAAAATACCACAAAACTAAACTCACAAATAAATCCATTTTTCTTACTTATCTTACCTTCTGTTTTCTTATTCATACTTCTCAATCATCACATAAAACCAACTATTTCTCTATAGGTTAAGAAGAATAAGAGAAGTGATACTACTGTGTTTCATAAATATTGCACGGTGACCGGATGCAACAGGTATGGGGTAATATGAAATAGGTATCAGGGATTAAGGATAAAGCGCAACACATACATACATAGCTTACCTCATGTTCTAGGAACAAGGCCTTCAACTGGCCTTTTGACCAGTAATCCAGTGCATATGCAAGAAGCTTCATTGACAAAGTGTTCACACGCAAAAAGTTGCCAACAAAGACAACTCTGTTTATTTTCTAAAAAAGGAAAGAAAACAGTAGGAGTCAAGTTTCCTCACTGTCGAGTGCAGCTTTAAAAAGCTAGGATGAGAAGAAAACAGTTTGTCACAAAAAGGATTAAATTTTGAATGCTTCAGAGCAGAGAGGAAGAATTAGGTATGTAAAGCGACTAGTCAACTACGCTATAAGCATATGTTTATTGGGTAGTTGAGTAGTGACTCGACTATTTGCATCCCCTCTCTCTGAGGCAGCAAGGGAGGCAACAGGGACAGGGGAAAGGAGGGGTGTGTGAAGAGCCACCTTAAAAGAGCACTCTCTCGGGGAGGGGGCGGGGGAGAAGCAGGGGAGGCAGAGGTGCAGTATCTGGGACCAGGTGCCAGCTGGGAATCAGCCAATTCCCAGCTCATGCCCAGTCACAGATGCTGCGCTTCTGCTTTTTAAATGTATTAAGAGCCTGGCAGCTCTTAATGCATTTAAAAGGCAGAGCCACAGCAGCTCTGTAGTTTCCCCCCCTTATCGACTAATTGAGTAGTCAATGGAATTTCCATTGACTACTCGATTAGCTGATTATCCCTACCCTATGACAAAAGATAAATGCACATAAGTCAAATGTCAGAAATATTAACACACAAA